GAAGAGGCCAGATGCATGCTTTACATCAGCATATATAGTATAAGAGGCCAAGCCCAAGTGGGCAGGTAACTTAAAGGCTACTGGCAGTAGGAATTCCTACAGAAAGTGAGACCCTATATCTGTTTCTATATTTTATTTATCTTTTCCAAAGCACAATTAGAAGAAAATATGACAAAATTTTAAATTTTGCTTAATTGTAGTGGAGTATATGAATGCTTATATTTTCTTTTTGGTATGGGTCTAGTAATCCACCTCCTCTACCACTCAAATAACTTTATTCATAGTGATTGTGACATACATGTAAGTTTTCAATCACACACTGACTTTTCAGTTGTTCTGTAACATTTTAATCTAAATTAAGTATAGAGTAAAACATAGTTGAAAAGCAATAGAAAATGTATTGGTACAACCTCTACCTGCCCTGTAGTAATGTGAACACCCATATTGATGTAATAGATTAACAGAAAGCGTACTTGATGTTAGTGAAACAAAATTACCTATACTGTAGATCCCACCGAGACTGCATCATTTTGAACATCTCTTGTGTTGCAGGGTTCTGGGCAGGGCCAAGGCTGGGTGTTGGAGCAAGTGCAGAGGTAAGATCCTGTCTCCAGACAGGAAACAATGAGACCCAGGTAAGGCCAGGTATAACAACTCTGGAACACCACTAGAGGTCATAAGTGAACCCAGGACCAAGTTCCCAAAGGACCAGCCATTAGGATTCACCCCTGGAAGGCCCCACAATTCTTCCCAAAGCCATCGTCCTAGCTGAACAGGTGTCCACTACTTGGTGGATGCAGTTAAGCCACATCCAAAGCTCAGCATTTTTCTTTGGCCTCCAAGGTTCTCATCCCTCTTGTCTTCCAAATGAAATCATAGTTTTAAAACACTGGAAAGGAACCCAAGGTGCCTGTGATTTGAAGACTGTAAAGATAAATCATAGAAGAAAGAACTGAAAAATCATATGTTTTAGGCACTAAGCACATAAAGATTAACAAATTTTATTAAGCAGGTTATAAGAACTGTTACACATTCTAAAATATGAATTTCATGAGGCAAGTGGACCAACACACTTCTTTATACTGATGAAATAAAAACATTTCTGTTCAGAGGTGCTAGTGTTAATCCCAAAGACTGGAGGAGGACAACCACTGATCTAAATCATCATGGCCATGAGCCTATTATTCGTGATCCTAGAGAAGCTAAATAAGAAGGTGAACCTGATGAAAATCATGTAGCTATCTGCCTGGATATTGGAAATAGACAAGAGTCCCAGGTAACCTCGGGTGCATGGGGGGGGATGGTTGTTGGAAGGGGAGAGGGTTAGAAAGAAGGGAATGGGGGGGAGGAATGAGGAAAGCTAGGTGGACTGGGATTGGGGGAGGGAGGAAGGATGGATATGAGATCAGGGAAGAATATATTTCAACTAAGGGAGTCATCTTAGTGTTTACAGGAGACTTGATTATAAATGGGATCACAGGTCCAAGGAGATCCCCAGATTGTTCTCTGGACAGAAGAGAGGGTGCCTGAAACGGCCTAGGCCCATAACCATACTGATGAATATTTTGCTTATCACCATAGAACCTTCATCTGGCGATGGATGGAGATAGAAACAGAGACCCACATCGTAACACTGGACTTAACTCCCTAGGTCCAAACGAGAAGCAGAAGGAAAGAGAACGTGAGCAAAGACGGCAAGATCAGAGAGAACCTTCATCCCACGATGGATGGCGATACAGATGGAGACCCACATTGGAGCACCGGACTGAGCCCCCCAAGGTCCAAATGAGGAGCAGAAGGAGGAAGAAAATGAAAAAAGGAAATAAGGACTGCGAGGGATGTGATCACCCACTGATACAAGGGAATGGATCTAGTGAGAGTTTACCAAGGCCAGTTGGACTGCGACTGAACGAGGACGCAATCCAACCAGATTCTCTGAATTTGGCTGGATTCTCTGAATGTGGCTGGCCGGAGTCTTTCTGAAAAGCCATTGACAATGGCATTGGGACTTGTTTCTCTGCATATACTGGATTTTGCAGATCCAGTCCGTCTGGACACTCACCTTCCTGGACCTGGAGGGAGGCGGGAGGAACTTAAACTTCCCACTGGGCAGGAAACCCTGACTGCTCTTAGGGATGGAGAGGGAGGAGGAGAGGGAGTGGGGGGAGTGGGAGGGTGGTGGGAGGAGGGGCGGATATGGAAACTTTTATAATTTAATAAAATTACATAAATAAATAAATAAATAAATAAATAAATAAATCATCATGGCCAAACTAATAAAGAAAGTTCTCTGTGAGTTCGAGGCCAGCCTGGTCTACAAAAGCTAGTTCCAGGACAGGCTCGAAAGTTACAGAGAAACCCTGTCTCGAAAAAACCAAAATAATAATAATAAAGAGAGCAATTAAAGTAAGCATTTTTTTTCATGTACATGGAATGCTGCCCCTTATGATGGGGTTTGAGAATTCAGCATTGGATGTCAGGAGGACAAGGCTTTTACAGAGCTTAGGTATATGGAGTTTCCAATAGGGGGGATGGTTGAAACAAGGTAATCAGAACAAGTAGACAAGCAAGGTAATCGCAGGTGTTCATGTGAACTTTTGAAACAGAGGTAGTGTTGCAAGATGGGTATAAACAACTTTTTGAAGCAAAGACAAGGTTACCATTCCTGGAAAAGTCAGTACAGAAACATTTGTACTTAAGATTACAGGTGGGGTATAACCCAGTCCTTGAGAAGCAGAGGGTTAATCATAAACAGGGTGGAACCTAGTTTGTCTTTACTATAAGTTGACCTTGAAGATTAAGACAGAGGCAGCTGGTTCTTCACTAGTAATAAAATTGTGAAGATGTGTAAGGGGTGGAACTTAGGGCAGCTGCAGAAGACTCAGAAGGACTGTCAGCTTGAATGCCATTTGGAAGGAAACCACCCTGAGTGCAGCACTGTCATGGAAGAAAAACCAAAAGTCACACATCATCACCATGCAGAGCCCTAATAGGCTGCATGGTCTGCTTAAACTTCAGTTATACAGTCACAACCCCCAAGCTGACCCGCTTTGATATTGCTAGCTGTGGTGGGGATTGGCCCTTAATGGAGAGAACAGTTATTTACAGGTAGGCTGACCAGTTAGGACGGGATGGTAGAGGCTGCTATGTGAGGTGTGATATGATGATGATTCAGTTATACACTCACACAACCCAAGCTGATACTACTTGATGTTGCAACCTGTGATGGGAGTTGGTCCATAAATGAGGGAAGAGTAATTATTTGGACACAGGTAGACCTAAAAGGATGGGATGGGAGAGGCTGATATGAGTGGAAATGGGGCAGATGCCAAGAAACATCTTAGTGAGCATCTGTACTCAAAGGTTTGTAGTGTGTGACTTGTTCCCAGTAGACATCCTGGAAATCACAGGGTCTGCTCAACACTTTAAAAAGCCTCACCTGGGTCAGAATCATTTACTCAGCTCTTTAAGGAAAATCCCAATTTCAGAAGAAGGAAGCAGAGTCGAGAACCAATCTGTGAAAGGGTCTTCTTCAGCCATGGTCAGCTCTCCAGCTCTAGCCCTGAAAATGGGAGAAAGGTAAGAATATATTCCAATAATGTTCAGGGAATTACTATCTTGTAGTTTTCTCTGTATCCATATTCCTGTGTTACTACCACAAAATGCAACATGTAGGGTCCAGGGATTCCTCCTAGGAAGGTTTGAGACAGAAACTTCCTTTTAAAGCAGAGAGATGGCCCAGCTTAAGCAGACTTTCCTTATTTTCCCCAAATCATTCATATTCATGTCTGTTATTTCTTTGAAGGGGAATACTATGTGCACATTTTGTTTCCCAGGAGAGAGGGGATGAGAGAGGGGAAGAGAGGTCACACTTAGAGGTCAGCAGTAGAATGGATAACTAATGCCTGGAGAAGCATGACTATTGCCAACACACAGCCGACCAGGAGTGGGGTAGAAAATACAATTCTCAAACATCTTGTCTTTGATCTCTTCTGTCCTTGAAATGTCAACAATGGCCTCAAATACAAAGAAACTTAGAGAAAATTACAGCTCTTAGGGGTCAGATAAGGCACTTCTGTGAGATGTCAGGGAGCAAAGAGAAAGATGGAAGGAAAATCTTCACTTGAAAGTCTTCTTCCACCATGAGGTTTCTAGACTTAAGTGTCATCAGGTCATTTCTCCCTGCATCTCCACCAGAGTGATGTCTGTCTTGTTTGTATTTCATTCTTCTAGGGATGCTTTTATGGAGGACTCACCCAATTTGATCAAAAATAAGATTCAAGTGAAATTTATGTAGGGAAATATGCTTTGTATTTGCTATACCATTAGAGTGGCTAATACAGAACTGTAGAATACCTTACCAAGAAAGTTGCTACTGGTGGATTGGCAAACTGCACCTCGTCAGACACAAGAACAACAGCATTCGTATTCTACAGGCCTAAAGAAGCAGCAGCAGGCTGTGATCATAGACTCTCAGCCACATCAACATGTCAGAGCAGGGAAGACACATAGAGGAGCTAGGGATTGCTTGGTGCATTTCTGTACTCATCTCTGAATCTCCAGTTTTGGTGAATGCTTTGCCATCTGATCTAGACAGAATGCAAACTGGGATCTCTTTTAATTAAAAACTCAGATAATTCATTAATAATGAAGGTAATAGCTTCTGTCACCCGAGTGCTGTGATTAAAGGTGTATACCACCATCACTTGGCTAAGAAATAATGCTTCTGAAAATCATAGATTATTAATAATTAATCAGAAAAAAATTAAGAAGTCCTGTGTGCCTGTTGCTCTCATTTGCAAAAGGGTTATCAGATATTTTATTACTGTAGCATGCAACCATCAACTGTTTTTTGTTTTTTTTTTTTCTTAACAAGAGACAGTTTCACAGATAGGTTTCATTTTTCAAAAAAGAGGAAGAAACGCCATTCTGTGGCCCTGTGTGGCTTTATCAGTTACCTCCTGCCCATTTCCATTTCCTGGGATTTCCCACTCCTTCTTTAGCACAAACTAGACTTAAGTAAAACAACTCTTTTTCCATGGTATCGGCTACACGAAGAAGGACACAGCTTAGTGTTTTGCTGGTCTCCTCAGTGAGAGGCTTGAGAACTCTGGGGAAAGAACTCTGGCTGGCTAGTGCATTCTGATAGATCACTCATTGTGCTGCTGCAGAACCCAAGGAGCAGACTTCTTGGTGAAGGTAAGGGAGGTACTGGGTCCTTTGATTATCTGATCAGCTAGACTCCCTTTCCTTCCGACACGTTTTCAGCTTTTTGTCACTAGCTTACTCTGTTGTCATTGGAAAGGCTTTCTAGTTTACTAGATTAGAGCGGCTAGGAACTTTATCAGTCAGTGAAGCTGGACAGTTCAATAATAAAAATCAGGCTAAACACTCCCTTCCCTGACGTCCGTATGTTATTTTGGACATTTGCAATATTTCTAAAGTAGTGTTTGGGTTATTTTATTGTTGTTGTTGCTGTTGTTGCTTGTGCTTAGTACTGGCCATTAAACTCTGGGTCTTACATGTGCTAGGAAAATACTTTGCTATTGAGCTAAATTTACATTTTTATTTTTTGAGAAAAAGACTCATTAAAATCTGGCCACATAGACAGAAAAGCGCTTGAACATTTTAAGTCTCCTGAGTAGCTGGCAGTATTGGTTTCAGGCCATGTATAAAAATGTTCTTATTTATTTATTTGTTTATTTACTTACTTACTTATTTTCTTTGCTATAAGCTCTCACTCTGTAGCCCAGTCTGGCCCTGAACTTGGCAGCAATTCGCCTCAGCCACCTGCCTCTGGGATTTCAGGAGTAATCCACCACACCTGCTAAGGAACAAGATTTTAATGGACTTGTCTCTAGTAAAGCTTGAAGCCATATTAGTAGTATAGTAGCAAGAGATTTCACCTGTAAAATCTGCTATTCATATAATAAACAACCCAAAATTTTGAAAAAAAATAATGAAGGTAATAGACTTGACCTCTCTGGCAGTCTATAAAGGACTTGAAAGTCTCTCAAGCATGGGATCAGAGGGAGATTTGTGGCATCTTCTCTAAAGTAGGGGAAAGTGAAGCAGCGAACAGAGAGGAGAGAAAAAAACATCAGAAGAGATGCAGGGAGAAAAACTCAAGGATATGATAGCAATGTGATATCGGGAACCACCTTTTGTACATTTAACCCTGCTTTCCCCAAGGGACATCACAACAAATGTTGTTCAAGGAAAGCAGGGATTATAGGTGAACACTACCATCACCACTTTTACGCTGACTGTAGCTGATGTCCACCACCTCCACTCTCAGCCCCCATTTGAATTTTCTCCTGCTGTTTCACAGGTTTTTTAGCTAGGGGTTTTACTCAACTGCACTTGTGACTGCTATCTTGTTTATGGTGTGGGCGAGTCTCCTGTGCTTTTCCATTATTCATGTCTATAAACACAGAGTGTTGTGGCGGACACAGGTTTGTCAAGACGGTAATCCTTTCCTAGTAGATGGACTAGTTTATAAAGCAACTGTGGTACAAGCATGAGAACCTGAATTCCAGCCTCCAGAATAATCCAGGCCTGGCAAGTCATGCCCATCACTCCAGTACTGGGGATGTACAAACCAGAGGATCCCTGGAGTTTATTGGTCTGCTGTTGAGTTTGTGAGCTCCATGTTCATTCAGAAACCCTGTCTCAGAAAGTAAGTTGTGATCTATTGAAGAAAGCCTTGACATCTGCCTGTAACATCTACAAACACGTATACACACACATGTGCATGCACACACACACACACACACACACACACACATATAAAGAGAGAGAGAGAGAGAGAGAGAGAGAGAGAGAGAGAGAGAGAGAGAACCCAGCTTTTTGTGGACTGGGATTCACACTGTGAGAGACAGGTATGATCTTTCACCTTTTATGCTACAATTTCATCCTCAGAAAACTGGAAAAGCATCCATTCTTACATCACATACTGTACAGTGATTCAACATGACAATATAGTTAAGTTTTTAAAGAACGAATTCATTCAGTCCACATATGAGCTTGTCATGTTCCTCTACTAAATAGAGTCTAGTTATAATTGCCTATCCATCCATATTTGTATTTCAATTGCTGTACCTTCCCAGCTTCTCTTCAGTCTGCACAGAGACCTTTTGTCATCAGAGGAAGCTCTCCATCTTCTGCCATCTTCTAGAAGAGACTATGGAGATGGCTCATGTTATATTAGGTTTCTTTCTCCTCTCTGACTCCACTTAGCAGTCCTGCATTAGACACACCCATTTTCCATTCCCTTTCTGCAACAGTACTTAGATTTCACCTTCCCTTCCTTCTGGCTCCTTCTCCTGCTTAGCAATCATCTCAGAAGCACATCCATCTCTAGGCTGTGTATCTAAGTGTGTCCTGCTGCTTAACTAAGCTGAGTTGGGTCTTCACCATAATGTCCTGCCCATGATCAACAGCAATGATTTGTACATGCATGAATAATTGGAAATAATTTGTCAACTCAGGGCTGTTGACAAAAAGAGTTAGGATTATTGAGAATTTCTTTATCACTTTGCAGTGCTGGTCAATAACTTTTGTCACATTTTCATTTTTAATTTATATGTGATTCATCAGCTAATGCTGTAAAGATTTGCATGTGTGCACTCATTCATGATTAAACAATGTCAGGGTCTCACACACTCTGAGGATGAAGATATAAATACATTACATCATCACCATCTGATGCCTCAGACATTTCTAGGCTATATGGTTTTTAAATAAAGGATAAAGTGAATTTTTACCTTTTAAAATTTAAATTTGAATGTTTTTCTTTCTCTTTTTATTAAGAATTTTTAATATAATTTTTTCTCATTTTACATAGCTATCCTCATTCCCACTCCCTCCTCTCCTCCTGCTCCACCTTTCCCTCCACCCCACCCCTATACACTCCAGCAGGTCCTAGATGGGGTAGATGTTAGGGTAGGACCATCCCAGGTCCAGCTATGGGCTTGGGTGGTAATTGAGCTGGTCAGTCCAGGCTTCTGGGAACACTCTCTCAGGTAAGGGGTGGAGACAGCTCCCCTACACTCATAAACTCGGGGTCAGTTCTCACTTATGTGTGGGGAGGGATGGGGCCATCTCTCTCAAGTGTGGGGACCAGCTCTCCCATGAAAGTCAGGGCCACCTCTCTTTCTGCAGTGTCCAATAAGGGGCGGGGCCAGTGAAGGGTGGGATTGGCTCAACATAGCCCACTAATTTCACAGGCACAAATCCTATAGACCCCTGAGATGACACAGCCCATAGACATCAACACAGACCCCAGCTGCAGCATGACCATGGAGCCAACATGGCCATTGGCAGTATCTTGGGCCTGGGTGACATTCTGACTCTGGATGAAAACACATACCACTCAGATCAGGACAGCTCTGGTGGTGGCACATCTCCCAGACACCAACAAGGCTACAGGTTACAGCCCCAATCCCAGGCTTCTGTGTAACCTTTGGTGGCAACACAGACCCTGGCTGTGATGGTACCCTACAGAGATCCAGACATGGTCCTCAGCAGCAGATCAGGTGTGGATGTCACCATGGCCCCAAAGGGTAGTGTAGGACCCCTAGATCAGCAAGTCCCCAGTGGCAGCATGGCTTTCAGATACCAGCATGGCCCCAGGAATCTACATGGTCCTAATGATGAAAGGAACCATGGGCTGAGATATCACCATGACACCAGATAGCAGAATGTGTCACTTTGGTCTGTATGGCTCCAGATGTGGCATGGCCCTTGAGTACCAACATGGTCTCAGGAACCGATCAGACTCCAGTAATCACACAGACCTTGGTTACAACAGGACCCACAGACACAGAACCAGACCCTGGCTGCTGTAGGGCCATGGACCCAGACAAGGACCTCTGCAAGAGCTCGGACCTGCATGTTACCATGGCACTGTATGGCAGCCCAGGCCACTCAGATCAGCATGGCTATGTTGGTGGCACAGCTCCTAAACACCCACATGGCCATCCATGGGTGGCAATCCAGACATTGGGCATCCCCATGGCCCCTGGTGACATGGACCATGGGAGGCTACACAGCCTCTGACTGTGGTAGAACCATGGACCCAGACATGGCCCCTGGCAGCAGCCCTAGCCCATATTCCACCATGGCCCTGGTTGGCAGGAAAGCCTCCCACATCAGCCTACTGGTAACCACTTTAACCTCTCCCACAGCACATGAACTATTCCGCTCCTCCTACTCTCCCATTTCTCCACCACATACATGCTTGTCATAATGGGACCCATCAGGCTGGCCTGTGTATTGTTTGCACCCACCTGAGCTAGACAGCAGCAGATAAGTCACAGACGTCTTCCTGCCAGTCCAGGTCTTGAGAACCCAGGCTGGACTGTGGGTGGTTTGCACCTACCTGAGACAGACATCATCAGATGGATTGCAGATTTTTGAACACTTCATTGCAATTTCCTTTATGCTTATTAATACACTGCTTTATGACCTAAAATATGATATAGAAAAATTTCTCTGGGTTGCTGACAAGGATATGTATTCCATAGCTCTTGGGTGAACTCTTATGGACTATGCCTTAGTTAGGATTTTATTGATGTAAAGAGACACCAACCGTAGCAATTCTTATATAGGAAAACATTTAATTGGGATTGGCTTACAGATTCCAAGATTTAGTCCTTTATCATCATGACAGAAATCATGGCAGCATGCAGGCAGACATAGCGCTAGAGAAGGAACTGAGAGTTCTACATCCGGAGCCACAAGCAGCAGGAAGAGACTGAGACACTTTCTCCAATAAGGCCACACCTACTCCAACAAGGCCACATCTCCTAATAGTGTCACTCCCTATGAACCTATGGGGCCATTTTTATTCAAACCACCATATTCCATCTTCTGGCCCCATAGGTTTATATCTTTTTTAAAAAGTTTCACAAATTCTGTTTTATTTTTTATTTTTTTAAACAATCTTTTTTATTTTACATACAAATCCCAGTTCCCCCTACCGCTGCTTCCCCCACCTATCCACACTCCCCCTACCATTCACTCCTCAGAGAGGGTAAGCCTCCCGTGGGGAATCAAAAAAGTCTGTCACATCGCACTGAGGCAGGACTAAGACCCTCACCCTTGTATCTAGACTGAGTAAGGTATCCCTCCATAGGAAATAGGCTCAAAATTGTCAGTTTATGCATTAGAAATAAATCCTGATCCCACTACCATTGGCCCCACAAACTGCCTCATCCACACAACTGTCACCCACATTCAGAGGACCTACTTTAGCCCTTTGCAGGATCCCCAGTTGTCATTCCAGAGTCAGTGAGCCCTCACTAGCTTGGATCAGCTATTTCTACGGGTTTCTACATCATGGTCTTGGCCCTTTGTTCGTATTATCACTCTTCCCTCTCTTCAGTTGAAGTCTGGGAACTCAGCCCAGAACTTAGCTGTGGATCTCTAAATCTACTTCCATAAGTTATTGGATGAAGGTTCTATGATGACAATTAAGGTAGTCATCAATTTGATTACAGAAGAAGGCCAGTTCAGGCATCCTCTTTATTATTGCTTAGAGTCTTAGCTGTTGTCACCTTTATGGGATTCCTTGTGAAAGAAATTGAAGAAGATATCAGAAAATGGAAAGATCTCCCATGCTCTTGGATAAGAGGAATCAATATAGTAAAAATGACAATCTTACTAAAAGCAATCTACAGATTCAATGCAATCACCATCACAATCCCAGCACAATTCTTCACAGACCTTGAAAGAACAATACCCAAGTTCATATGGAAAAAAAAACTAGCATGGTCAAAACAATCCTGTACAATAAAGGAACTTCCAGAGGCATCAAGCCCTACACTAGAGCGATAGTAATAAAAAGAGTTTTATATTGGCATACAAACTGGAACATAGATCAATGGAATCAGATTGAAGACCCTGATAATAATCCACACACCTAAGAACACCTGATTTTTTACAAAGAAGCTAAAATTATGTAATGTAAGAAAAGAAAGAATCTTCAACAAATTATCTTTATCATAATGCAAAGTGCATTTAGTACAACTTCAGAAATCCCCATAGTCTATCCCAGTCTCAAACTTATTCTTAAGTGCAAAGTCTCTTCCAAGACTCATGAAAATCTTTTAACTAAAACTCCTGTAAAATTAAAATGAAAGTGGAGATTTCATACTTCCAACATACAATAGTACATGATATGCATTACCATTCCAAAACGGGAGAAAAGGAACATAATGAGGAAAAACTGGGCCAAATGAAGGTGGAAAACAAGCTGGGAAAACTCTAAAAATTTCATCTCCATGTTCAATGTCAAAACTCTCTTCAGAGCTCCAACTCTGTTCAGCTTTGATGACTACAATGCACTTCTTTTTTTAGGCAAATTCAGCTCCTTTCATCAGCAGCAGCTTTCCTTGGCAGGTATCCCACAATTCTGGCATCTCCAACATCTTGGGTTCAACCCAGGCTTCACGTTCACAACTTCACACAATGGTCTCTCTTGGCCTCCATTCAGGAACATCCCTGACACACGCCTGGCCTCAGAGGCTTTCTGATTTTGCAAAGGGAGATTCTATAACCTTTCTTCTACCCTTGACTCTAAAGCTGGAACCACAAGCCCAGAGCTGCCAAGTTCTACTGCTTGCTAAGGCTATAACATGGCCTCCTCATTCAATTATAACTTCACTTGTTTTTTGACTTTTATAGTTTCTTTCACTGCCTAATCTTGGCTATCCAGAATCTCAATCTGTAGACCAGGCTGACCTTGAACTCTGAGATCCACATACCTCTGTCTCCTGAATGCTGAGATGAAGGGCATATACCACCACGTTTGGATCTAAGTGGTTCTTTAATTCCTTTTCACAAGTTGGAAACTTAGCTGAGGTTAGCACTCCCATTATTTCTTTTAATATCAGTCTTTAATTTGTTTATATCCTTGAACACAGGACTTAGCTCCATTCCACTTCCTGGTGCCTTTTTCTCCTCAAATTGTACATTTTGTAAGTTTTCTTACTCGACTTGCTTCTTTTCATTCTAGCTCTTCATAAGAGTAAACTCTAATAACCACACGACAGAGTTGCTACAAGGCTATTTTGAGAGTTCCTCTGTCAATGCAATTAATGAAAAACTCTTCCATTTAGACTCGGACATATTTTTGGACAAGGGCAGAAATTAGTCATATTCTTTACCACAAGAATAATTTCTAGGCCACATATTAACATTCTTCTCCTCTGAAACCTCCTGAGCCAGGTCCCCCCAGTGCAAGTCTCCCTCAGCACCACTGTCTTCCATTGACTAGAAAAACACTAGCTAGCAAAACCAGTCACACTGAGAGCTGAAGCTGAAACGATCCCATTTTGCTCCCTGATTCCATTTCGTGAAGCCAAAATGCCCAATGGTGAGCAATGGCACCTACTACTGTCATGCTACTATCATCAGCAAACTTGATTTTGGGGGGCAGGCTGCTTACCTAGCACCAGTCTGCCTATTTTAAGCTGTTGATTGTAGGAGGAGAGAGCCACTTGTTGATCCCTGGCCACTTAGCTCTGAAATAATCACACAGAAACTGTATTAATTAAATCACTGCTTGGCCCATTAGCTCTAGCTTCTTATTGGCTAACTCCTACATCTTAATTTAACCCACCTCCATTAATTTGTGCATCTCCACGAGGTCGTGGCATACCAGCAAAGTTTCAACATGTCTATATCTGGCAGAGACTCCATGGCTTCTCTCTGACTCCACTTCCTTCCTTCCAGCATTCAGTTTAGTTTTCCCCACCTACATAAGTTCTGTCCTATTAACAGGCCCAAAGTAGCTTCTATATTAACCAATGGTATTCACAGCATACAGAGGGGAATCTCACATTAGTTGATGCTTCAGCTGGTTTCCCAAACGAAAAATGTGTGTTCCTATGAGGTGATCAAGGCTTCAAGAATGAATGGTACAATCTTGGTGAAGACAATTGAGTTTGCTGGGTGATTTTCTTCAAAAACCAAGTGTGAGGTTAGCTTTTATGTCTTCTGAATGCTTTCCCTGATCCTGGATCTCTGTCTCAACACTGTCAGATATGTTCTCCTTCATGAAGGCCTGCCTAAAAGGAGAAGTTACCAGAAGGATCCTGTGATGCATAGCTGCCTATGTATATACTGTTCGGGACAAGCTACTGCAAGCACAGGAACAGGCCTCATTCTGCAGCCCTGGCCAGTGTGGAAAAGAAAAGCTGTCTTTTCTTCAGATGTCTGTGTGGCTTTAGGGGTGAGAAATAGAAGCCTATTAAGGATGTCTGTATTGAGGAGTGCTCCATACAGACACACAGTGTAGATGCTACCTGCCCTGCTATGCTGCTCTCTTTTCCAGAGCATTTGTGTACATGTATAGACCTCAAAGCTCTCCTCGGGGGCGGGGACACTGTTCCCAAATGGAGGTGCTCTCTATTTTTTTCTGCAGCACAGTCCACACTTTTCATGTCAGAGACCTGTGCCTTTGCATAAAATACAAGTAACGGCCAGAACATTTACTACAAATTTTCAATAGCCCTTGAAACTGTGGTTCATTTGCTCATTTGTCATAGTTCTTTGCTTTCCACTGTAACCCTATAGATAACAGGATGATGATGGCATTAATTACAAACAGAGGAGTGCCTGATGTCCTTCAAGGCTTCTCTGCCTTCTAGTTTTCATATTTAATATTAATTAAATATGAAATTAAATCATATTAAATATTTCATATTTAAAATGAAGACTTCTAGTCCTTCTAACATAAGAAGTGTGACTGTTTACACACAGATCTTCATATTTCATTATTCCATTTTTCCCATTTAATAGACCCCTTACAGAGACTGAGTGTAGCTTTGGCTTGTGCCAGGATCTTCCACATTCCTATACCTGAGAAGGAACCTCAGCCCTGGAACAGAAAAAAAGTTAGTTTCTGAATTCTGTCTCTTCCTGATACAGCATAAGATGCTTAGCAACTGTACTGGTACCATCAACTACCCCAGCATCACTAGAGGCATTGGTCTGCAGATAGATTGAAGAGTACAAACTGGGTTTAAAAGAAGTTTCTAGAATTTGGGAGTTTTTGATAAATTGCTTCATCTCTGAAAGCGCGTTTCCCCTTCCTTATGAACCTGTGCCAGACGCTCCCCCGTAGCCAGGTGGTCTTGACAGAAAGTATCATGTGTTCATATCTCAATTTACTTTGCAGGAACGCTAGTGGAAAATTCCCAAGCATGGATCCCACCACCCCAGCCTGGAGCACTGACAACACAACAGTGAACGAAACTTACTACACTGAAAACTTACCCTGTGTTGACCCCATACCCATTATCCTGTATATTCTTAAAGCTGGCATTGCCATGGTTGGGCTGGTAGGAAATGCCGTGGTGCTATGGCTTCTGAGCTTCCACATACAAAGGAATGCCTTCTCTGTCTATGTCCTCAACCTGGCTGGGACTGACTTCCTCTTCCTCAGCTTTCAGACTGTGTATTCCCTGGAATATATCCTTCCCCATTTCTATGACATCTACTTCGATATTCCCATCTATCTCATCAATGCATGCATCTTTGCTTACCTTGCTGGTATGTGTATTATTGCAGCCATCAGTGTTGAGCGATGTCTGTCTGTTTTGTGGCCCATCTGGTATCACTGCCAGCGACCAAGACACTTATCATCTGTCATGTGTGCCCTGCTCTGGGCCTTCTCTCTACTGTTCAGCCTCCTGTTAGGGCATGAGTGCGGCTTACTAGTTATTGGCTATTATGACCATTCTTTGTGTAGGAGTTTAAATTTTATCACTGCTGCGTTTGTGATAGTATTATCTGTAGTTCTTTGTGGATCCAGCCTGACCCTGTTGTTCAGGATCTTCTGTGGCTCCCGAAGAATTCCTGTGACCAGGTTGTGTGTGACACTTACCCTCACGGTGCTGCTCTTTATATTCGTTGGTCTGCCCTTTGGTATCTATTGGTTCCTCTTAGACTGGATTGAGGAGTTGCGTAAAGTTCTCCCTTGCCATACTAGAGAAATGACAAAATTTCTATCCTGCATTAACAGCTGTGCCAACCCCATCGTTTACTTCCTTGTTGGCTCCGTTAGGCACCGCAGGCTCCAGAGGCAGACTCTGAAGATTCTACTGCAGAGAGCCCTGCAGGACACTCCTGAGGAAGAAGGTGAAGAAAGGGATTCTTCAACAAATCCTGGAGAACAGGAAACAGTCTGGTGTAGTAGTTGAGTGAGTCCTTGATAGCACACAGTTGTTTTGAGAATCAACATGGTCTCCATTTAGATGGGTCATTTTCACAACCTTGTTCAATTGGTTGAGAAAACAGTCATTTTGTAGAAATAGGGTGAAATGGGGCTTGTTAAACAGAAACTGACTACGGCATCCTAAAACTTCCTTATGTGGACTCACTGCATCTGCTTGTGATGTAACCTTTGTAACCAAATCGCTTGAGGCCAGGACAACTCCCACTGTAAACAAATCCTTCCCTCCAAAGAAGCCCCCAAGCAGTGCAGGGAAGGTCAGGATTTCTTCGGTCATTGAACTTGATAAATATTAAATGAATATTATATTCTATAGAAATGTCCCTATTTTCCACAAGTTGTTTTCTAAATGTTAAGAGAAATTAATTGAAATTCCCACAATCCCAGTTTCCTTCATGAATATTGAAGCTTGGTATGACTGCTTAATTGCTTCCTTCCCTTGGCAATTTGAACAGTATTTTCTGGAACCATGGAAGCCTTACCACAGGAAAGAAATTACATCAAGCTCAGATCATCTGAGTCCTTTGTCCTAAATGTAAAGTGTGTTCAGCAATAGGGGTGTACCCTCATCCACTAGGAAATGACCACTGATTACATATATGATCCATACTGTTTTGGAAGTCACAAGGACTACACTGACTAACCATTCAAAAGAAGGCTTCTCATGCCAGGAACTGGTTCTGTGGGGATTTTTGTCAAGACAAATTGCTTAACTTCCTTTAAGATATGTATGTGTGGAGATAGATAGATAGATAGATAGATAGATAGATAGATAGATAGATAGACAGAAAGAGTCCGTGTATGCATGCATATATATATACATGTAAATATGTGCACAAATATATATATATATATATGTAATCAAGTATTGTGTATAATTTCAAGGAAATATAAAATATTACAAACCCTTAAGGCCTTAAAAAGCAACCTTCCTATTATTTGTCCCTGTCCCTCCTCTTCCTTCTTCCACCCTCCACCTCATTCAGATTCCCTCCCCATTTTTCCATTTCCTACTTTTTTCATCTCTATCCTGATATTGACTCCCAAACTCCCCAACATATGGTTTCTTCATGCATTTCTGGCTTGTTGTATATGCACATCTGAGAATTTGGAGCTAGGAGCTACAATAAGAGAGACTGTGGAGCATTTGTCATTATGAACAGAACTCCATTTGCTAAGGATTAAGGCAAGCAAATGATGAGTGGGTCTTCAGAAAACTAAAAACCTTCTGCACAGCTAAAGAAACAATCAGTCGTTTGGGAGCCTAGTCTGTTTGGATACACACCTTCCTTTGACCTGGATGGAGGGGGAGGACCTTGGACGTCCCACAGGACAGAGCACCCTGACTTCTCATGTGACTGGAGAGGAAGGGAGAGAGGGAGAGGAGGGAGGGGGAGGGAAATGGGAGGATGGAAGGAGGTGGAAATTTTTAATTAAAAAAAAAAGAAATAATCAGTCGGATAAAGAGGAAACCCACAAAATGGGAGAGAACTTTTGTCTGTTAAACACCTGAAAGAGGGTTAATACTCAGAATATAGAAAGAATTTCAAAAATTAAGAGTCCAAAAACCAAATCACTATTTGAAAACTGGTTCTGGGACCTAGGCAGAGAGTTCTCAAGAGAATAAATAAAAATTGCTAATAAAATCTTGAAAAGGCCTTATCATCCTAAGCAATGAGAAAAATGCAAACTAAAACAACTTTGACATTTCATATCAGGCCAAGCAGCGTGCTTAAAATCAATTTAAAATCTGACACCAAACGTTGTCTATGTTGTGGAGAAAATGGACTTCTCACTCATTTTTGGAAGGAATGTGAACTGGTGTAGCTGCTTTGGAAAACAGAATAGAGAATCTTCATAAGACTAAAACTGTATCTACCATATAACCCAGATATACTATTCACTAGCATATGACCAAATAAATAAACATCCTAATCCACAGAGACTTGTTCACCATGTCCGCTGATGCCTTATTCACATAAGCCAGGAAATGGAAAAAAGCCAAATGTCTTCCACTGGATGAATGGAAAATGAAAATGTGTTACATATACACAATGGAATACTACTCAACTGTAAACAAAGAGAAATCATGAGTTTTGTCAATAAAGGGCTGAACCTAGAAAATATTATCTTGAGTGATGTAAGATTTCTTGTGAAATAATATTTCAATCTTAAATGTTGCTGTGTTTGACACTTTAAAGTATAATTAAGAATAAGTAGTATGTACACATTAAACAAATGCATGTTTCAATAACTTGACTTGGATAAATGTAACTACTTGACTCCAAACCCAATCAAGATATAAAATACCATCTTGCCTCTGTGAGTTCCCACTGTCTCCTCCCATCATAACTTTTGGAGGTCAGTACTATCCATATTTCCAATTTAATGTAAAATTGAGAGTGCAAACTGAATATATATATATATACATATATATAAAATGATGTGGAATTCCCCTCTGTATGCTATGAATATGTTTTATTGCCATTGGTTAATAAAGAAGCTGCTTTTAGTCAATAGATTAGCAGAGTAAAGTTAGGAAGTAACTGCCAAAGGAGATAGATGCCCTGAAACCGTGCCCATAAACCACAAGCCTCATTGTAAAATATAAAATAATAGAAATGGGTTAATTTAAGATATATGAGCTATCTGTGAAATACTTCTAAGCTACTGGCCAAGCAGTGTTGAAATTAATGCAGTTTCTGTGTTACTATTTTGGGTTAGGTGGTGGGGAATTGAATAAGCAGCCTCTGCCTACATATGTATGCTTATGTATGTATGTATATGTATGTGTGTATATGCATATATGTGTATGTATACATATAATGTAAAATTCCTTTTCTCCAAAAGCTGGTTTAGAAAAAACTCTTGAATGCAGTGCACTCTTATTACATAGAGATCTTGTGTGGTAAATTATCTTTATTTCATCTTATGTATCTGTTACATCATATCTTTTATGTTTTTCCACTTTCTATTACAACAAAGGTTTAGTAACCATTATCATATCATGCAGTCAATCTGTGCATATGGACAGAGTATCAAAAAATCTTCATAGGCTTTTGCTTTAAATGCTTGTTGTCCAGCTAGCAGTTCTATTTTAAGAGATTATACAAACATTAGGGCCTAACTGTTGAACATAACTCCATCCATATTGTAGCCATGGACAAGAATTCCTCACTTTTAACAGATGAGGAATAATATGCTATGTGTGACTGTCACAATTTCACAATCTATTTCTCTGTTATTTCAAGTCTATATCTCCCATGTACTGAATGCTGAAAATAATGCTCCAATAAACATACAACTCTTTTTTATTAGTGGCAAAGAGGATTTCATCCACTATTTTGTTTTAATCTAATATGTCTTTTTTTTCATAGTGGGTATCTGGTAACAACACAAATTTAAGGTGTTTTGTTTCCTTTTGCTAAAATTGACTACTACAAGTCACTCTGTTTCAATTAGCATGTGATACAAAGAGAAGACAGATTATTGTGGTTTATGGTTTGAGGGCTTGATACATGATTTAATGGATCTATGCATCTATATAGACTGTAATGAAGGTGAGGATGTGTGGAAGAGGAGGAAAGCTCACATTATGGAAGACAGAAAACAAATTTGAGAGGAAAAGGCCAAGAATATATATCGAAGTACACTTTTTCAAAGTCTACCATTGAGATAAGTCATGACAAAAACTCAAGCAGAAACAAAAAAAAACTATTGAGGGACCCCTACTTGGCCTCTCAGAGGAAATTATTTAGATAACATTTTTATAGATTTCAGGACCACAAGACCAGGAAATGGCAATGCCCAAAGTAAACTGAGTCCTCCAACTTAATTACAATTAAGACAATCCCTCTGAGACAAGTTCATGAGATAAACTAAGAAAGTATTCAATTGGGACTTCTCAGGGGACTCTATTCTGTATCAAGATGCTAGTTTGATGACTAGGACATTCCACCATTTGTCAACTTGACACACAAACATTTCACTTAAAGCCTTGATTTTTCTATTCCTTGTCCCTGGACTCTACTTTTAATATTACCACACACAACACAGTCAAAATTTTAAAGTCTCACATTCTTGAAATTTTTAAACAATCAAAAATGCAAGAACTTTTTAAAAAACAAAAGTCTCCATCTGAGAGCGCAGCCCACAACCCCTGAGAAACTAGATAACAAGGAGAACCTTAAGAAAGACAAGCATGAAAGCCCACAGGGAAAGTGAAATAGAAAAAAAATCACCTGAGTAAATTAAGAATGCAGGGGGGAAAGGAGGGAGGGGGAAAGAAGGAAAAAGGATTTGAAGGAACAGGAAGGAAAGGGATGGTTAAGTTGGGGGAGAGATGGGGAGTGAGAACAAGAAAAGAGATCTGTTGGTAGAGGGAGTCATTATGGGGTTAGGGAGAAAACTGGTGCTAGGGAAATTCCCAGGAATCCACAAGGATGACACCAGCTAAGACTCCAAGCAATAGTGGAGAAGGTGCCTGAGCTGGCCTTCTCTAGTAATCAGATTGATGACTACCTGTTGTAGGAGGCCGCTTGTTTGTTTGCAGCTGCTCAAACTCAAAATAACCACACAGAAACTGTATTAATTAAATCACTGCTTGGCCCATTAGCTCTAGCTCCTTATTGGCTAACTCTTACATCTTAATTTAACCCATTTCTCTTAATCTGTGGATCATGTGGCTGTGGCTTGCCAGGTAAAGTTCCAGCATTTGTCTCCAGTGGAGCTACATGGCTTCTCACTAACTCCTGCCTTCTTCTCCCAGCATTCAGTTTAGCTTTCCCTGCTTAGCTCTATGGCAAATTCCCGGGAACCCACAAGGATGATACCAACTAAGACTCCAAGCGATAGTGGAGAAGGTACCTGAACTGGCCTTCCTTAGTAATCAGATTGATGACCACCCTAATTGTTATCATAGAACCTTCATCCAGCACCTGGTGGAAGCAAATGTAGAGATTCACAGCTAAGCATTGGGTAGAGCTCCTGGAGTCCAGTCAAAGAGAGGGAGGAGGGATTATATGAAGAAGGGTATGTCAAGATTATGGAGGGAAATCCAGAGACAGCTAACACAAGCTAGTGGAACCTCACTAACTCTGGACTGACAGCTGGGGAACCTGCATAAGACCAAACTAGGCCCTCTGAATGTGGGTGACAGTTCTGTGATTGGGTAGTCTGGGAGCCACTGGCAGTGAGACCAGGAGTTATTCATAGTGCATGAACTGTTTTTTTGAAGCTCATTCCCTATGGAGAGATACTTTGCTCAGCCTAGATGCGGCCTCAACTTGATATGCCAAACTTTGTTGTGAGGCCTTACCCTTTCTGAGAGTGGATGAGGGGAGAAGGTAGAGGAAACAGAGGAGGGGATGGAAGAAGTACTGTGGCTGGTATGTAAAATGAAAAGAAAACTTTTAAATTAGGAAAAAAATCAGAAGTCTTTTAACTCTGAGTTCTTGTAAAATGATGAACAAACAATATATGTCTTATTCCAAAATGAAAGAATTAAAAAATAGTAAAATAAACTAAAAATATGGAAGTATTAATACAAATCATGTAGCTTCATGTTCAGCATCTGGGACTCATTCACTGTGTAGTTTTCTAGCACCAGAAAGTTTGTGCAGGTCCATTCTCTAGCTCTTCCATTGACGGCAAACACAGCTTGTCTCATACATTCTGCCATTTACAGAAAACACAGTTCATTACATAGGTGCAAGGTATTCCATACCACACCTTCCTCTGTCCCTGAAAA